CAGGAATTATGACAGAAAAAGTGGTGAAAAATCATTCTCAGAATCCCTTTACCTATCTCCTTTCAACAAGGATAGAAATATCAGCATCCAGTGGCAGCAGGTAAGTCCTGCACTATCAGTCAAGCATTATTCATAATTGAAGAGGGCATATCGTGGCAGAAGAAAGAGTATACACCCCACTGATTTGCTCATTATCTATCCCAGAACTTTTCCATTCTGCCCCAGTCCTTCTTTCATCTCATCATTTTCCAAAATGATGGTTGTCAAAGTGCTTTATGGATTTTACAAAGTACTGATTAGACAGCATCCTTCCAAGAGACTCAGGGCATGAAAACCAGTCAATAGATATGAAGTTGATTTCATCGATGGAGCCTGAGAGTGTTTGATATTTATAAACAAAGAATAATGTAAGAGAAAGTTCACGTTTTCTTTAGCACTGTTGGTTTTGAATGGAGAGCTGATTCTTTAAAAGGGTTATTGATGAAGATTCCCTGGAATGTAGTCATTAAACATTTATTGAGTGTGTGACACCCAGTTGACTCAGAGATACAGATACGACACAGAACCTTGTAGAAATGGGAGATATACAAATAATTGTTATACGTCGTGGTAATTGCCACAGTAGAGATTCTAGGTATTATGGCCATAAAGAAAGTTGGGGATTTAAATCATGTTGGGATCAAGAGTGAAGGACAGCTTCCTGGAGATGCTGACTTAAGTTTTAAATGAATAATGGAAATGAACCATTTAGAGCAGGAGTAGTTAAGATATTTTATGCAGAAGAATAGCTGTGCAGAAGCACAAGGTATCATTAGCACACTGCTGATCTGGAAGCAAGTGGTTGTCACAGCAGAGGAGAGGTGCACATAGAGGTGGGTGAGCCATGAGACTTGAGGGATAAACATAGACTGGGTCATTAAAGTCTACTGAACGAAGGAATCTAAAATTATCTTGAATGCGATAAGGAAAATGGAAGGATGTTAAGCATGAGAAGAACTTAATCAGATTTACGTTTTTAAAAATTGCTTGCCTTTGTACTTTTTAAAAAACTTTTTATTGTAGTAAAATACATAACATAAAATTTGCCATTTAAACTATTTTTAAGTATACAATTCACTGTCATTAGTTATACTCAATGTTGTGCAGCCATCACCACTATTTCTAAAACTTTGTCATCACCCAGTCAGCAACTCTGTACCCATTAAACAAAAATTTTTCGTATCCCTTTTCCCCCAGCCCCTAGTAAGTTCTATTCTACTTTTTAGATATGTCCTATAAGTGGAATCATATAATGCTTGTCCTTTTGTGTCTGGCTTATTTCACTTAGCATAATGTTTTCAGATTTCAGCCATGTTGTAATATGTATCAGAATTTCATTCTTTTTTTTGTGGCTGTGTAACATTCCATTGTACTTATATACCACATTTTGTTTATCTCTTCACCTATCAGTGGGCATTTGGGTTCTTATCTTTTGGCTATTGTGACTAATGCTGCTAGGAACATTGGTACACAAGTATCTGAGTCCTTGCTTTAGATTCTTTTGGGTATATACCTGGGAGTAGAATTGCTGGATCATACAGTAATTTTATGTTTAATTTTTAAGGACCCACTAAACTCTTTTCCACAGTGGCTGCACCATTTTACATTCTCGCTAGCCATGTGCATGGGGTCTATTTTCTCCACATCCTTCCTGACACTTGTTACTTTCCATTTAAAAAATTAAAAGCTATCCTTGTAGGTATGAAGTGGTACAGATTTACATTTTTGAAGGACCACTCTGAAAGCAGCATGGACTGAGGGAGGAAAACCCAGCAGGCAGAGAAAACAGCTGAGAGACTTTTACTGATTAAATTTTCTGAGCATTGGTCTGAGAGTGTGGCCCTGACAGGAAGAGCCTGGAAAGGAAGAGACATATTATGACACATTTAAAAGATAGAATCTCAAGATTTCATGATTGTTGGTTGGGGAGAGCAGGAAAATAAGAAGTGTCCAAGTTTTCTGACTTGGTCACCTAAATAGAAGATGGTATTATCTATCATTCATTGAGATTGAGGAAAAGAAGAATTCAGTTTTGGACACAAGAAAACTGTGATATATATGGGATCTTCAAGTAGGCATTTGGATATGAGGGTCTGGACTAAGGGCTGTGGCCTGACCTGGATAGAGATTCAGACAGCAAGAATGTACAGAAAGCAGATGTGGGGACTGGCATGGGGGCAGTCACTGGGGAACTGAAGATATACTCTGGGAGTACATGGACCTCAACACAGTAAAGGGAAGAGGGGAATCCTACCTGAAATGTGAGAAGATGTGGCTCTAAAGTGGGAGTAGTATCTCAGAAGCAAAGGAAGAAAGTTTCAAAAAGAGGAATGTATGAAAAATGGCAAATCTGGAAAATGTTTTGATTATATATACTTCCAATTTAATTTGTCTTTGGTCGATTTAGGGAGAGGTCCTACATTTCATTCAAAATGTAGTGAAAGTAGTGTTCAGGAAAAGCTTGCACTGTTTTTTGAAAAAATTATGCTACTGTAGTGTAAGATGCTACAGTAAGAAATTGCATCCAAGTGATGTGAATATTATTAATATCAGAAAGCTTATTAAAATTCACATGTAAAAATATTATGACTATAGACCAAATGCCAGCATGGAGGAAAAAATAGCAGATTTATTAATTATCTAGGTTTGTGCTGCAAACAAAGAAATGAATTATTTGACTAACACGATACGATCATGCCTTTATTCTGTTTTACCAGAGACCATTAAATAAAGGTATTGAATTTGGATTTCATAAGTACAATAGGTTTAGATTTCATCAAGGAGGCAATTTCAGTCAGTGAGTTAATTTTCTAAAACACATATATAATCAAAGCAAAAGCATGATTTAAAACAGCCAAAGCTTACCTTGTAAAATTGAAATGTATGTATATATAATTCCAGACCATTAGGAAGAAAATCACTACCTGTGGCATTATTTTCTGTTTTAGTTCCCAAATATGAAGGCAGGCTAAAAAGAGAAAAGAAGCTGACTTAATCTGACTCTCTCTTTTGCTTCAGAGAAGTTCTTTAATTTTATATGTACCGAGCAGACTGACAATGATGAGAGAAATAGCAAGACATAGGGGAAGGCACACCATCCTGGATAGAATTAGCTTCACCCAGTCTCCTGTTAGGTATGTGACCCTGAGCAGTCATCAACCTTACTGGCCTCTATTCTTTCTTCTGTAAAAGGGGAATAGTTAAAACTACATGATTCTCCAGTATTGTGAGAATCAAATAACATGTGAAAATATTTTTGACAAAGTACCATAAATATGAAAGCTATCCTTTATTTAGACCGTGAGAAGGAAAAGCACCCAAGCTTTTTTTTTTGAATATTTATAAGCATCTCTTTATAAATTTTATTAAATATTCTGTAAACAGCATGTATTTTTTAAGCAGGAAAATATTATTAAAAACTCAAAATAGTTCTAATAAATAAAATAGATCAAAGATAAGTCAAAGTTTTTTCAAAGCCTAGAAAATGATTAAATTATACTATAGTTAGCCAGTGGGCCACTGTGCAATCATTTCAAATTATGTTCTCCAATAATTGAACTTATGGGAAAATAGTCATGTAATAGTGTTAATAATACACTATGATCTGAATTTTGTTGTGTGCGTGTGTATATACACACTCACACAGACACACTGTGGCTAAGTTAAATAGTCAAAGCTGTTTTTTTGTATGTATCTAAATACATGTTTAGGAAAGATTATAGGGAGACCCATTAAAATGTTAACTATGATTATTCCAGGTGAGATCATGGGTGCTTTTCTCTGAAATTTTCAATGTCCATTTTAAAAATGATACATTTGGAAATATAATTTTAAACTACATATTTTTCAAAAACTACTCACCTGCATAATTTTTTAATGTCGAAAGTAGTCTATAACTATCAGTGGTAGTGGTCTGATGACTGCATTTCTGAATGAACACACACACATATGTATCTATATTTGTATATAAATATTTATACATAAATATACATTTAGCATATTCTGCTAGCAAGTATACTAATGCAATAATATTGGCAAGTGATCAGAGTTTCCAGTTTTTGATATTTCTTATCATCCAGATGTTTTTAGGCAAAATAAATTTCTTTGATTAAAGATCTGAGATTCTTAATGCATTTTCAGCCTTTTTTAATACAGCTTCTATAAAATTTTTGGTTAAGACATCAATTGTTTTAAAAATAAAGTTATTTCCATGAAAATTATGTTTTTTCTCAATATTGGCATGGGTTAATTTTTAAATAGAACACCAAGGATTGTTCATTGTCAGTTAATATAATTTTTATTATCTTGATGGGGCTGATGTGCTTGTCAGCTTTAGTAGGCGAATAGCTCATGTGGAAAGTAAAAATCATTTCAAGTCATTAGGAGCTCAGGGTAGCATTTATAACTAAATACTTAATAGGAATTAAGTCCATTGGACTTAAGCTCACATTTATTTTTCTCTCAAGGATTATAGAAAAGCTGTTTCATGTAGTTTGATATTTTGCCCTGCTTTTTTGTAGAGTGGAAGATGGTGAACAACAAGTAAAAATGAAGTCCTTCAGGTACTTTGAACTGTTGAGATGGTACCTGGTGGGTGGAAAGGTCACACATGTACACCTTTAGCCAAAACAAAAGGTGAAGTCAAGATATAATGGATTCATGAATATTAGGTTTTTCTCATATGTTAGTTATGCTGTGAGAAGTAGTGATTATTAAGTAACCATTACCTTTCTTTTCTATATACTTGAATAACATTCGGCTTATGTATCTTTAAATTTTTCTTGAGATAGCTGTTTATTAAAAACTTAGTTTTAGCACTAGAGAAAAAGCTGATTCATGCTATAAACAAATCAGAATTACTTATGAGAAGCATCTGATTATTAGGAATCCATCATCTTAAATTCTTTGTCAATTGTTTCAATATTAACACAGAATTTTTCTGCATCTGGCAACATGGCTAGATATCAGCTTTGCTTTTTCTTTTATTCTGTTTTATGGATATGATTCTACAAAACATTGATATGATTCAAAATGGGGGTAACAGTATATAGACTTAAGAGCCAGGGTCCTAATAAATTTTTAAGCAGAGAACTAGTCTCTGGATAAATATGCCCCTTCTTAATAAATCCTACAGAAATCTTTTCAGTTGTACTTCCTTCAAGTACAGTACCTCATTCAAAAAGTGGCTATTTCACCTTCGTCTGAGATACCTAGCTCCCACTGTCATCATTCATTGCTCTCTCCAGTGGCCTTGCTCTCACCTCCCTCCAAACTTCAGCTCCGAGAGAGAGCACACCCCTTCTGCTGTACATTCTCCAGATCAGGCATCTCTGTCCATTGTTACTGTCTATTTTAATGGGTAATACTGGTAGAAAAAAGAGGTGATCATTTTAGCAAGAAGATAACTATAACACTTTTTAATTATAAAATTTTAATCTGAAAGTTGGTCATGGATAGACCAATGTATGAGTAGATAACTCAATTTTATATAAATACACATGTAATTTGAATTCCATATAGTTTACCCAAAAGTCCATATTTTGTTCCAGGAGTGGCATTGTCCGAGGGGGAATGTTTTGGGGAGAGGAGGAGTATTAGCTGCATCAGTCTCCATCAGTGCTTCTCCCCCACTTCAATGTGGAAAAATTACATTTTCTTTCATCTAATTTAAAATTGCTATAACAACAGATCAAGGCAAGTCTCCTACTTATCCTCTTTCCCATCGAATCATCCCTTTTAAACTCTTCTTATATAAAAATTAAGGAATTGCTATGATCTGAGCGTTATAGGAGAAAGAGATGTTTACAGTTAAGTGTGAAGAGTAAAATAGCCTAATTCTTGAAATCTAAGATATACATTTGCCCCCTAACATTTTATCATCTGAGAAAAATGTCTTATCAATGGCATCTTCTTGTTATTTGGCAGCATTTTTCTTTCCTTGTGATTTGTGATGCATTAAATAATTTATCTTACAATTAATGGTGGTTTAGATTCAGTAAATTATGGTAGTGGCACTGAGGAAGCTGAGAGAGGGAAGTGATTAATTATGTAGTAATCAAAGAAAGCATCTCAGAAGAATAACTGAGCTTGGCTTTGAAGGAGTAGGGTCTTCCCACGAATATAGAAGCCTAAGAAATAGCAAGACGTAGAGGAGATACGAAAGACGACATGGCATGTTTGAAGACTAGCAAGTCATCTGGCATTGCTGCTGTATAACATTTGGAGAAAAAGGAAAGACATGGAGAGATGAAAGGATAAACCAGGTCATGGTGAAACTTGGAATGTCATTAGGGAGTTTGGCCATTCCTCACAGGCAGTGGAAACACATTTTGGCAGTTTAATGCAATGGATTAGATGATTTGGTTTGTTTAGAATGATAATTCTGAAAGTATTGGGTAGGATAGACTAGAAGAGGAAGACATTAGAAAAAAGAACATCACTTTAAAAGGCTTTTAGGGGTAAGTGCAATGAGCTATATCACAAGGGCCTGAATTAAGGCAGTTACAGAGTGGGTGGAGAGGGGGAGGCATATTTAAGAAATATTTTAAGAACTGGAGCCTATGGGAGTTTGTGTTTATTTGGCCCTTCAGGGTGAAGAAGAGGAAGGGTATAGAATAAGTCTCGTGGTGTAACCAACCAAGATGAACTCTATAGAAGAGAAAAAAAGGACTAGTGGAGGAAAGAGAATTAAAATGGGGTAAATTGCAGAAAAGCATTCAGCTTGGGATTTCCTGAGTTTTAGGGTGTTTGGGAATCAGTTACGCACATAATTCTAGTTCCAAAAGTCAGGAACTGGATGAAGTATAGCAGTTTAATGGTTACTAGCTTATGAATAGTTATAAAACCTTATGAGGGAATGAGATCTCTTAGGGTGAAGCTATTGTGTGAGAAAAGAGTGGTACCAAGCAAGGAATCTTGAGGTCACAGGTATTTAAGGATAGAGGAAGGGCCAAGTAAAGAGACAAAGGGGACTGGGCTGAGGAGGGAGAACAGAGGAACAGGAGAGGTGACAGAAGCCAGGCAAAGAATGAGGAATGTCAGTTGTGTCAAACTCAAGGCAGGGATCAGCAAGAGATTGCATAAGATAAGGATGACCCTTGCTAGAATAGTTTTAGTGGAGTTGGGATTGTGAAAGGTTGGCTTTAATAGATGGAGAAGTGCCTGAGAAAGACTGGAGACTGCCTTCTTTCAGGAAGCTGGCCGAGAAGGGAAGACGGTAGCAAGCGGGAGGGAACCCCTAGAATTAGGGAAAGGGGTTTTATCAGAGGGAAGAGACTTGCACACATTTATAGACCCATGAGAGGAGCTATGAGAGAGAATGAGATTAAAATGTTGATAATTGTTTAAGCAAACACCAGAGAGAAGTTAGCTTTGAAAAGGCTACTCATCTCTTCCTCTAAGACTGAAGGAAAGTAAAAAAACCACTCACCACGCTCTCAGACAGATGTCTCTGTTCTTAAAATGTTTCAGGAAATAAGGTAGGGAAGAATGGAGGAAAGGTAGTGGGTGGGGGTGAAAGCACTGTGAATCTTTTAAATGCCATTCCTATTCCCAGGTCGCTGTGGGTCTGCTGACTGTGAAGTATAAAAGAGGTTTCTTTTCCTTCTCAGAGAAGCTCATAGCCAAACTGAAAAACGGAGGAGAGATAAAATGAATAACCTGATTGAAGAACTGTCAGCAATGCTCCCTCAGTGTAAGCCTGTGGCACGAAAACTGGACAAACTTACAGTTTTAAGAATGGCCGTTCAATACTTGAAATCTTTAAAAGGTGAGTTTGAAAATGACCTCCATGCTTAGATTTGTGAAGCCTTTCCTGCAATTGAGGTCTCTCTGTTTGTTTTGTTGTTACTGACTGTCGAGATGCTATACAAAGGTGTCTTTCAGCTTTAGAGGCATTAAGTTGATGCTTGTCCATATTCTGTGTGTGGAGAGAATACTAATTTGGTTGTCAGAAAACTTCAATCTACTACAAGCTTTATCTTAAGATTACTGTGTGAACTTCAAAAGTCTTTACATTTCTACTTGTTTTCCCATATATAATATGAAGTTAACAATGCCTGCTATATATACCTCTCGGTATTTTAGAAGTCCTGAAATGTAGAATTATAATTTTAAATTCTTGGCAGATTTCCATATGGTAGAAGAAATGGCAGAGGCACTCCAACCAGCTAACTGCGTGCAGGTTGGGAAAAGAAAGTACAGGCCTTGAGTCCTTCAGTGCCACACAGAGCAATGCAAGTGTTCGGACGCTGCCTGGCAGTGGGAGCACGATTGGCGGTCTTATTTTCATAAGTCTGTTGTGAAATGAGATAAATAAGATTCTCTTTTACCTACAGCTGGCTCTTGCATAAGTTGCATGCAATATTTCTCTTAAATCTTTCGGCAGTCAACCTTTGTAGGCTCAGCTGAGGTCATTTGATTGCAAGCCTAAAATTACCCAAGAGTTTTTACATTTGCAATGTTCTGAAGGAGGAGGACCTGAGGGAGAAGCCATGAATCAATCAACTAATTCAACAAACACGAACTGAGCATCAGCTAGACTCCTGTTCTGTGCTGGGAATATAAAAAAATGAAAGAGGCAAGATCTCTGTGCTCTAGGGATTCATGGCTGGACAAGGGAGAGACATATATCCATGAAGAGAGCAGTAAAACCTAGTGGGAGGGATGTTAAGCGGAGGTACAAGTGAGAGGAGTAGGAAGGAGACAGTAAATCCAGAGGCGATTTCTTGGAACAGACCATAGGTTTCACCCTTGGCCCTCCTAAGCTGAAGTGAGGTGGACAAGTACTCATCGGACCCTTTAGTTAGTGCTACCCCAAGTGAGGTGACTTAAAGCAACTGGGCCTGCATTCTAGAGCACTTACTAGAGTGTACCGCCAACGTGCTTGACATCAGACACACCAGGTCATCAGAGGGCTGCGTATAGATCATGCTATTTTGGTCTATGCATGATTACTTTAAAGACAGAAGGATGGTGAAATGATTTTTTAAATATACTCGACAGCAGTGGTTCTGAAACCCTCCGGGTGAAGGGCAAGTGTTCCCCACCCTCATCCAGTTGATTACTGGAAAAATGATCATGAGCTGGGAAGCCACAACAACTTTACATTTCTTTAATAACGTGTCTAAGTGCTGATTCTGAATTTCTGTACTCATTTCACCACAGTTGGCTGTTAGCAAGGGTCTGCAGTCCATGTCTGGGTAGCCCTGCTCTGCATCATGCACTTTCGGAGAACCTGTGGGCATTCTCTGTATGTGGTCTTAATAGTGGTGACAGAGCACAGTTGTGCGTGCGTGTGGGTGCTGGAGGCAAACCTCCTGGCTCCCTGACTTAAAATTCTATGTGACTTACTCAAGTTACTTAACATTCTAATCCTCAACTTCCATATCTATAAAACAGGGATAATGGATATGCCTCATAGGGTTGTCATTAAGAGTAAAGAATAATGCATAGAAAGGGTGAGCACAGTATTCACAAATGGCAGAGGTGGTGGCAAGAGGAGGAGGAATACCTGTTATTGTCATTATCATTATCATTGTCAAATTGTCATTTTTTTAGCCCTTCGAACACACTGTGACACAAGTAAGCGACTGTGTTTCTTATTTGTTTTTGCTATCAGAAATCTGACAGTGGAATTTGTTACACTCTTTGGCAGGTGTACAGCATATCCAGCATGCATTTTACTAACTCGCCTCACCCTAGCTTCCGCTCCACTCTCACTGTCTTCTTTTTCTCCGTTCCATGTCCTCGCTCACTCTCACCTAGTTGGGGCTCACCCATTTTGCCCGGTTTATACTAACAGGATTTTGTCGGCATACTTCTGCCAACTTTGCTTCAGGCCAGACCTGTAAATGTCCCTGCCTTCCTCAAGTAGATTTATTGCTATACCCTGGTCTGGTCCTCAGAGACTGCATCTTTCAGCCCACCCTTCTCAACTTCCTCCTCCAAGGCTGCTATGTAGTAGTAACAACAACAACAACAAATCATTTCTGGGAATTCTGTGAGGCCTACCTAGAAGGTAGATTCCAAAAGAGAAGATTTTCTTTTGCTTATGCCGGGCTCTTAGGGGTGTTACCAGTTTGAGAAAACTTTACCAAGTTATACCATGAGATGTTTTTGATTTTCTGGTTTTGTTTTTCCTTACCACTTAGGTAATTGGTGAGTTTAGGCTGCAAATCTATTCAACGGCCAATTTGTGGTTGAAATGTCTCAGGGTGTTACCCTACTTTTTTATCTTGCGAAAGCAACTTTCCTAGCAGTCTCCAGGAGGAGGGGATTGTGGTTAGGGGGCTTGGGAAGTATAAAGGAGGGAATTGATTTACCTCTTCTGAATCACTCTTGCCCAGAGCTATCTGGGGACAGCAGCAGCTTGGCTTAACTGTCCCCTGTACCCGCTTGTGACTGTGAAGGGCTTTCCAAGTTAAGGTTGGTGGATCCTACTTTTGACCTGATAATTCCTTATCATTTTTGCCAGCTCTTCAGTAGCTTTAGAGACGTTCATCTTAATACAATAAACTTTGTGCTAAGGGCTTAAAACAAATCATTTTACTTATACTTTATAATTTTTGTATATTATCAGAAGTCTCCATATGATGTTTAAAGGATCATATAGAAGAATCTATGACTCGATAAAATTTGTTTAGAATTCAAGAATCACCTCCATTAAGGGTAATTCATATGACTAGTTTTAATAAGCTAAGAAATTATAAAAATAACTAAATTCTAGAATATTGATGCATTTTATTGTATTCTTTTTACAGAGAGCTCTTACTGTCTGCACTTTTGAGTATAAATGAATAAGTAGTTTCAAGAATTTTCAATCTAACAGTAGGAAATTTTAATCTAGTAATAACAAAGGGAGAGAACGATTACAGAGGAGGTCTAAGAACATGTTAACAGAGAGAATGCCATTATTAATATCCTCACCAGCAGCAGCAGCATCACTAATGTTCATTGACGACTTACTACGTTCCCAACCCTACTATATTTTTAGTAACTTTTTCACTTGTTTATTTTTAGGTATGACAAATTTTTATGCAGGAGATAATTATCGACCTTCCTTTATTCAGGAAAATGAGCTCAGACACTTAATCCTGAAGGTAAGTAAGGAGATATAGTTGTCTAAGTTGTATTTTCCCTTTGATTTTTATTTGAAATCTGAGAAGCAGATTTTCTTCAGTGTGCTTCCTGTTATAAACATATAGGACTCTATGTTGCTCCAAATTTCCTTTAACATAAAAATTAAAGTTATACAAGTAACCATGTTATATTAATTTGTGCTAATGGAAGTAGAGACAGAGGATGGGCATTTTCTAAAAAATGGAGCAAGGCTTGTTTTTAATGCTAAGCTCTTTATACTGCTTAATGCCCTCACTTCCCGTGTCTAGGATCTATTCCCCACTATTATCACCTCTTTCAAAGCCATCTACCTTGTATCCTATTCCTTCAGGATCATGTTCTCTGCACATTAGCCAGTCACTGCTTACTTAATGAGTTATTAGGTGATGCTCTGACATTTCTGTCCTCATCACTTCATATGTATGGGTTTTCAGATTCACTGTTCTAGAGGATTATTTGACATGGAAAATATGACCATGTCATTGGCTCATCCTCCCCCCGTGCCCCAGGAGGTAATAAGTGTCTTGCTCTTGTGCTATGACTACTGGGCTTTAAGCCATAGTATGATTAAACAGAAAGATTTTTCATTTATGTTTGCCAATTTTTAAAAACATTTTATAAAAGCCCCTCTTTTATTTGAACATCTAAATGTAAATATAATATTCCTGACAGGAATATAAAGGATTTTTTCTTTTTACAGACAACAAAAGATTATTAAAAATAGTGAAATGTATAGTATGCTTTGGAAGCTTTCTCACCAATCTTTAAGTGTTTTTTCAGCCATAACTTAATGTAGCCCCAGTAATGCCCCTGTAGAACATGTCTGCTGATTTCACCTCATGTTTATATCCAGTTGGTAAAAATTAGTTCAAGCAATGTCAAGAGACGGGGTGCCAGACTTACCCTGTGTGTCCAGACATATCCATTTCTGGTTAGTTTGGTCACAGAGGATTTACTTGGTAGATCTTATGGGAGTAGCTGACATATTAGAATTTTTAAAATTTAGTTTAGAATGATACCTTATCATTATCTAGTGATAGTTTACCATTATTGAAAGTATAAAGAGGTATACAGAAGAATATTTTTATCTCTTCCTCATTCCCAGTCTGCATATTCTTTCATCTCAACACATCCATACACAGTCATTGTTATTGATATGTTTTGATGTCTTTACACAGTTTCTGTATGCAGTAGAGTAGAATTTGGTATAGATAATTTTTATATTAGGATATATTTCAACAAAATATTTTGTGGCTGAACTTCTCATGTCAAAAACATTAGTTTAAATTGGGGTCCAATATGATGTTCTTTTAAATCTTTTTACACATATCTTAAGAAAATTTCTTAATATTAATTTTATTAGATCTATGACCACTGTTTATTTTATTGCTACAGTAATTTCCACAGAATCTGAATGTGTGTGAGACAGATGATATTTAAAAATATTTACTTTCATATTTTTAAATCCTAGACTGCAGAAGGCTTCCTATTTGTGGTTGGATGTGAAAGAGGAAAGATTCTCTTCGTTTCTAAGTCAGTCTCCAAAATACTTAATTATGATCAGGTATCCAAAACTGAGGAAATTTTCACACTATGTTTAGTTTTTTTGAACAAATATATTTTGAAGCTGTCTTTCTGAACCCTTTCTTCCCATTGGGCTGTGGTATTAGGTTCTGCTGAGTTAGAACTCCAGGAGAGATCGAAAGATATGTGGAAATGGTATAGGTTTTTATTACTGACAAGAGTGTTCACTTCCTGACCTTCAGCAACTTATTTCATTTTCCTGAACCTCAGCTTCCTCCTATGTAAAAAATGGAAATGATGATTAAGCCTGTTACTCAGGATGTAAAGACTGAATAAAATGTCATATTTGAATGTCTGAAAAATATTAGTCACCCTTCTCTGTTTCAGCAAAGAGATGGCATTAGTATTTATTATTAAGTTATATGCATTTCATAACAGCTTTTCATTTAAACTCTGGCAACAAATCTGAAATACATTTTTTATTTAACTAGCTGTGTGATTGCTTTATCTCCTCATTACTGAACTCTTTTTAATTTAAACTAGTTGCTTAAAAACTATAGCACTGACAGTAATCCAACAGAGTGAATAAACTAGCACCCATGGTTTCCTTTTAGAAATCAAATAGCCCAAAGATTTAATCTTAAATAATGCTCATTACTTTCAGCCTATATTCCCTTCAAACTTAAAAATTTGAAGAGAGAGAAGGCATTCATAGGTAATGAACTAAATATTAGAGAAAGATATTATGAGCCAAATGAATCATGCGGCTGGTCATAGCTGGGTACACAAAAGCAGGGCAAGACTTGATTATTCTTTTTTCTAATTGGAAATGGAGAACATCACACACATATGCATGCACTAAGGTAATCGACAATTCAAAGTAGCACTGACTTCCAAATTAGGGACATGGATGGAATCCAGTCTTACTGGGCACTGACTTTGCATTTCAGAGACCATTCAGGAGGCTCACTGACTGCTCAGGACTTTGGGATGACCATGGTACAGGGTCTGGTCCCCAGCTTTTCAGATTCAGAAATCTGATTTGCTCTAAAGCAGAGTTTTGATCAGATTTATATTAACCAATCACACAATAGACTGCTGTGTAAATCAGATTGCTAGGTTTTCATTTATTTGTTTTAGTATGAGGTATCTAACTGCCAGGTAATCTGGGCTACTTGTACCATCTGATCCATTTGTTCTATCTCCTAGAGGAATATCTACTTGGGTAATAAAGGAGTTCAGAAGACGCATGATCACTATGGGTCAGGGAGGACTTTACATGCAAAGTAGAATGTCCGCTAGGCTTTAAGAAGTGCAGAGAAGGAGAGGAAGACATTTTGCATTGAGAGAGAGAATCTAAGAACTCTAGGGAGTAAAATGCAATTGACTGGATTGGCTAGGGAATTGAGTTTGTAGAGAAGAGAAGGGGTAATGAATTCCAGGTGACAAGACCATGGAGCAAAGGCCCAGACCTAGGAATGCTCTGCATGTTAGAAGTGAAATGGCAAGTGAAAGGTGTCCCAGGTGGGATTTTGTTTTTCAATAGCATGGTAATTTTTTTTAACAGTATGATAAATCTCTGAGTCATGCCATAAAATCACAGATATTCAATGACTTCCATATGATACTATAATTGCTTTACTTTTACCCAGGATGCAGTTTAAAGAAAATCATAGTATAATTTAGAAGTAATGTATACAAATTGGGAGATATTAACAAGAGTAAATAGAATATTAGTGGTTAGGTGTTTTTGTGTGATTTGTGTGTATCTAATTATGGTTCTGTGTATTTTTTCTATTTACAAGTATGACCCTGCTTTTAACATTAATGTCACACAGTGTAGTAGATGTATCTTTGAGCTTAAGAAAAACCAACTTTAACAAAAGAAAGTATTTATCATACGTCTTTATAAGGAAACGTAGAAAAATTATGGTACTGATTTTAAATGAATGTCTACTTTATCAATAGGCTAGTTTGACTGGACAAAGTTTCTTTGACTTCCTACATCCAAAAGATGTTGCCAAAGTAAAGGAACAACTGTCTTCTTCTGATATTTCACCAAGAGAGAAGCTCATAGATGCCAAAAGTAAGTGCTCATTTCAACATGCTTACTGCTTAATGTAATTATACTTATTAGTTAAAAGTACAGCTATATAATGTTTTTGAAAAGTTATCTAATTATGGTTTTATCAAGAAGAGAATTATGTAGTAAGCTTCACGATCAACCTCAGAGTTGAAAAAAAACCAATATAACTGTATAGAGAATTCCTATATTCATACTCACATATAAAAACAAATACTATATGCATATGAAGATGCTTCATTTGAGGAAACTGTGATTGCTTCATAGTTGCTATTTTTCATATGCTAATAATATCTTTATAAGAAAGTATCATTTGGGGTAAAAAAATTGCTAGAGATTTCATTATTCAATTATATGCTGAGAGATAATTATTTTCTTGTATGAGTTAGGTCTATTCAATATGAAATACCTTCTATAATTGTGCTTGGGAGGTATAAATATTCTTTGTTTTCTCCAAAAATTCTTATTTTCTCTGAAAATGCTTAGTGCCAAGTAATTAAAAAATAATGATGCTTTATGCCATTGATCATTATAATTGAGTTTTTTCATTTTTTAATTTAATTTTTATTTTATTTTATTTTAATTATCTTTATCATCTACCCCCAGGAGAAAAATAAAGATAAATTGCAAGTGTTTATAAGTTATCAAAATATGATTGCTTAACAAATACATTTTTTTTGGTATGTTTCACTTCCTGGCTTACTGTACAATGATGTCATTGCTTTAAATAACCATTTCTTTTTTTAATTTGTAAAAAAATGTAATAGATGTTCAGAAAACGTTAGGAGATAATTTCAAAATTATTTGAAAATATTTTTTTCTACCTATTCTCTTGCCTCGTTCTGCTATGAAAGCTGGCTTCCAAGTTAACAGCAATTTCCAAACTGGAAGGACTCGTGTGTGTTCTGGCTCAAGACGATCCTTTTTCTGTCGGATAAAGAGTTGTAAAGTCTCTGTCAAAGAAGAGGATGAATGCTTACCCAACTCAAAGAAGAAAGGTATCATTATTTTGAAGTGTCAACTGATATAAGGCATGGATATAAAATTAATGCCCTAAATATGTTATGTACAGAACAAATAAAATATATGGTCAAGGCAAATAATCTAGGCCAAAAGCACCTCAAGAAATAAGTTGTTTTTAACCAGAATTATTTAGATTGGCTGATCATATCTTTCAAATTTATCAAGTTATTACATATTTTCTTTGTTGCCCAAGACTTTAATGGTGCTGTTGAAATTGCAGTTCGGGGACTATCAAATGGGAAGAAATGGGAAGAGATGGAAACAAAATTTTGTTATGAAATTCCATTACTACTTTTAAAATATAAGTTAGGTCTCTTTAAAAAACTACAATAGTGCAAGGGCCTGATTTGATTCATTTGGGTGAACATTTTTTTTTTTAAGTTTATGTTTAAGTTTATTGGGGTTGGTGAATATTTCTTAAGGTTCTAGGTGTCGTTTTAATTTTCATGATATTGTGGTTCTTTGGTAAATATTTCTAGTTCTGTTTTCTCGTGATTCTTATATAGCTTGCAGGTGTTTACATTTTGAATTGATTTAACATCTATTTTACTTAATTGGGACCTTTTAGGGACTGCAAAATATCATGATGTTTTTGCGTAAGAACGTATTAACGTATTCAGATATAGAATTCCTTATGCAAATTTTAAGGTAAAATTTGCTTTCACGTCTTTTAAAAGGATCTTCATGTAGAGCAAGATTCAGTTTATTTACAAGTTTTGGTTAGAATCTTTTTTGGCAACTGCTTAAGGTAATAATCACTAATACTCACTTTTTAAGCACTTACTCTGTGCCAGATGCTGTGCTAAGTGTTTTAATCCCCACAAAAACATTCTTACCTGTGTTTTAGAATCGGAGAGGAAAGACAACTTGCAGAAACTTGCAGAAAGTGAAGTAGGCAAAACTTACTCAAACCTAAACCCCCTACTCTTTTGTTATATGATAAAGAGACAAAAGCAGAATGAATCAGCAGTCCTATGGGTGGGTCTGTTTGTAAACCATCAGTTGCTTCCCTCTTGTCCTTGGCTCTGAGTGGTGGGGAGCTGTCTAAAGTCACATGTATGGCAACCTGAGGGTTGAAATCACCAGCTGGACTGGTGGTACAGAGGCTGTGGAATCCAGCTGATTGGGACCAAATTTTGGCTCTACCACTTGCTAGCTGTGTGACTGTGAACAATTTTCTTAACCCCTCTGAGCCTATTTCCTTATGTGTAAAACAAGGATATTCACAGGGTCGTATGGTTTTGTTTATTGGCTAAGTGCATAGATTCTGGAGGCAAACTGCTCAGGTTTGAATCCTAATTCGTGATTAACTACGTGACTGAAGATAAATTACTAAATTCTTTGGAGCCTCACTCTTTTCAACTGTAAGATCAGAATAATAGAACCTTCCTCACAGGATTGTTATCAGGATTAAATGAGTTAATATGTGTTATGTGCTTAGCATGGTTCCTAGCATAATAACACCTGATAAATGCTGTGAGCTGTTATAAATACTATTAGAAATAATGCACCTAAACTTAGGACAGTGCAGAGCAGATGGTAAGTGCCATTACTGTCATTACTTCAGGGCACTTGCTCTCTCTGCCTTCCTTCTCAAGTCAGTCATATTAAGTGTATATTAATCTTATATTGGGTCATGGCCATATAACATGGAGCTAGTTTCCAAGGGCAGGAATTATTTATGTGGGTGGTCCAAGGAGTCATACTCTATGTAGACCTGAACTGTAGGACATTTTACCTTTATAATTTATCTAGAGATGGTCTAATGCCATGTTGAATAGATACAACCATAAGTGAGTCACCTAATCTACACAGCAATCCATATAAGAGAAAAACATGGTAGCCAATGCAGCTCCCTTAACATGGCTGAAATCTTTGTGGTGTTTGATGCAAGTTATAAATTGAGTAGAGGCTTATCAAGTTTTGTAAGTGCTTTAAAGATTATCAGACTAATCTGTCTTTCCTTCTGGGAAGAGAAGAGTTTCCACATGGACTTATTTAGTACTAGTATTTTAGTCATCTTTGTCTTGGTGCATGGCTAGTGCCCAGTGTAACCATTTTACTCCTGAAAAACTTGATTTCATCCTCTACCCCTTGCTCTATCATCTTACTCTTTCCTTCTAAGACTTGTAACCTTATAGGTTTGATTCTCAACGTCTCTATTCTTTTTGAGAACCACTGCTTTAGACTCTTCTCTCAAGTATGAGATTCTCTGGGTGCACAAGAGAAGTAAAGAGCAAGAACGGTGAGGAAGAAGGGATGCCCTGGGCAGCATTGCCCAAGACGGGCTGAAGTTCTGTTGGTGATTTCTTCCCCACTTACATTTTTTCACAGCTTCTATTACAATCTTGTTTCTAAAACGGTCTGTACATATTGGCTATACTTAAGTAAAAATGGTAGAGATAAGCTGGAGATCATTATCTGACATAGTAGTCTCTAATTAAATAGATTTTTGTTGGTCAACAATTATTAATTTAGACCCTCCTGTGTGCTCGGCACCATACCAGATGCAAAGAATACACTGGAAACAGGGAGACAAATCATTATTTACTGACCCTTATAGGGACAGGGGACAGCCATTTGACAAGTAAATAATATTTTAGGTAGTAGAAAGTACAGTGAAGTCAATAAAAGAGGATAATGAGGACAGGAACTAGGAAGAAGTAGTTACTTTAGACAACTCAGAGATATCTATTAAGTGACATTTGATCTGAGAACTGAATGAGAAGGAGTCAGCTATGTACAAATCTATGGGAAGAAATTCCTGACAGAAAGACAAGTATAAAACTCCTAAGATAGAAAAACTTGGGATTCTGGGGACCCAACAAAGATCAGTGTGACTAGATCCTAAATGATGAAGAGAGTGTTAGGAAGAAAGGCAGCTGGGGCTAGATTCGTAGGCCCACTACATGGGTTAGGGGCAGTGGTGTGCTGGTCAGTATGCAACAACCAGCTTTCTGAGTGTAGTTCTGATAAGAATGTTGGTTGATGTTTTCCTTTACATTAATTAACCATGAAGACATGTTTTTGAAACTTAACTCATTTTTCAGTATGAGTAACTGTGCTAAAAGTGATAATGGTTTTTTAATTACAAGATTATTTGCTTAAATTTATTGTGCTATTCACTGTATAACTACAGATACAACACACAATTTAAGTTAATCCAAAGTGTTTTGTCCATCACTTTCATAAGTCTACACAATCAGGAAAAAACAAATCAAGCTCTGATTTATAGCTTTGCCAATTTCTGTGGTGTAAATAGTCACAAGGTAGCTAATTTAAAGCTGCCTACATGAGGTCATTGAACATGGAGTAGTGAAGGGATGTGTAACATACCATTATATGAAATCATGTTCAAAAAGAATTTTTAAAAATATATATTAAGTATACAATATGAGCCAAACACTGTTCTATATGCTGGACCCAGAGCAGTGAACAAAATCCTTGCTGATCAGTGCTACGAAGAAAAAGAGAATGAGAAGTTAGATTTAGAAATAGGCCTTCACATCACTGTTTCACATTATATTAAAATGTGGTTTTAAAAAATAAAGCATACCATCAACAAAGTGAAAAGACAACCTACTGAATGGGAGAAGATATTTGCAAATGACATATCTGATAAGGAGTTAACATACGAAATATATAAGAAACTCAATAGCAAAAACAACAACAACAACAACAAAGAATTTGATTTAAAAATGAACAGAGGACCTGAATAGACAGTTATCTTAAAAAAAAAATAGGTGGCCAACAGACATACGAAAAGATGCTCAATGTCACTAATCATCAGGGAACTGCAAATCAGAATCATATTGAGCACTCACCTCACACCTGTTGGAATGGCTGTCATCAATAAATCAACAAATAAATGCTGGCAAGGATGTGGAGCAAAGGGAACTCTTGTACACTGTTGGTGGTATTATAAATTCGTACAGCCACTACAGAAAACAGTATGGAGGTGCCTCAAAAAATTAAAGATAGAACATATAACCTAGTATTTCTACTTCTGGGTATTTATCCAAAGAAAACAAAAACAATTCGAAAAGATATATGCACCCCTATGCTCATTGCAGCACTATTTACAATAGCCAAGATAGAGAAACAACTTATGTCCATTGATAGATGGACAGATGCAGATAAG